TACCTAATTCTCTTAAGTAGAACAGCATGTTTTGTAGCTGCAAATATTTTATTCTTCCTTAAACCTTCCAATAAAAAGAAGAGTATACCAGAACTGAGATGGGGAGATCTTTTATTCCTTCCCCCACCCCACTACCATGATTTAGATTTTCAGAGATTTTACAAGAACTTATTTGGATTTCCCTACAGCCCATCTCCAAGCAGATCTCAGAAAAACAGCAGCTACATAGGCATAGCCTTACTACCTATGAAATAAATAACAATAACACAGCTCACAAAAATGTACATTTTCATCCAACCTTTTTTATAGCTCTCTTTGTCCACCTGCTCCTGCTCTTTGCTGGACTTTTCATCTTCTTCAGGAATGGTTTCCAGTTCTTTGACCTCAATCCTACCAGGAAAAAAAGAATCAATCAAAACAGAAGGGTTCAGGGGCTCCTTTGCCCTTCAGGAGCCTCAAAATATCAACCCTTCAAGGTAGGCCAGACAAGGAAACCAAAGTCATGCACGCGAATACTACTTTTATTATAAAGTTATAGTAACAGAATTTGCAAGTCTGAATGTGCCTTCCCCCTCCCTACCTTTACCTTCTTGAGAACTAGGGAAGGTGTGACCTAAGATCCTTACTGGAGTTACAGATCTGACCCAGACTTGCATTTCCTTTATCTGATCATTGTCTTAGTTGTGGCTCTTCTTCCTGTCACCCAAGGTTATTCCTACTACCCATTACACAAAATGTCCTTTTAAACTTGGTGGGTTTTACATGCAAAGCTAAAACCATAGCAAGCCAATCACCGAAACATATAAATTCCACATTCTGGTCATACAAGGCACAATTCCTTTAAATGTGAGCACGTGCACTTTATCTTCAGGACCATCCATCACATTGGTCCAAAGGCCAAGAGGGTGCATCACAGGCCACCAGGTCCCACCCCTGGACCCACCAGCCCAGCTGCTGTTTCCCCTTTACAGTCCGTTTCCTGCCAGGGAGCAGGAAGCAGCTAATGAAAAGACTACTGCTATTTCTGATCAGCCTCCAAATAACTGAACCTTGCTTGCCAGCCTTATTGTGCAGATGAACTTGTAGGTTAGAGAACGTGTGGACTGATTAGAGAAACACACCCACCTTGGAAACGCTGCAGTGTTGGAAGGGCAGAATGGTGGAGTGATTGTGTCTGTGGATGACAACACAGAGTCCACAGTTCCTGGCCTCTGTTGAAGAAAAAGAAAGAATCAATACGGCATCCAGAAAATAATTAAACCTACTATCAGCTTTATGAGGTAGACCAGACACGAAAAATGACCAGATGAGCTAATTCTACTTTATCAAGCTACATTAACAGAATCTTGCAAGTCTGAAAGTACCTCTCTCCTCCCATCCCAAGAGTCTTACAGCCCAAGGGTCTCTTCTGAGCCTCTTGCCTTGTCCATATTCCTGCTGCGGGCTCAGCTACTTTTTATCTGACTTTTCCCTTGGCTGCATCTCTTTGCCCTGTCTCCCAAGGTCATTCCCACATATTATTATACCTACCTTCTTTTCTGAAAACACTGTGTTGAATAACCACAACTCTCTTCCCACTAGTAATAGATTTCTTGGTCCAGGGGAATTTGCACAAGTTGGGCTAAAAGGTTTAGAGGGTTTGAAGGGAGGAAAGGCAAATAAGGGAGGATAGTACTGGGATCTATAAAAGAATGGATGTTCTGGAAAAAATTGATAGAAAAAGTGTTCTCCCTCTTTCATAGTGTGTGCCAAACTCAGAGTCATCTCATAAAACAGATTGACGGTAGACCCATAACTGGCACATGAAAAATGTATTTAATAGGTGGAATTCAGTACAGCATGATGGCCGCTATCTTAGGTGGCTTTAAATAAGGATATTGTGCTCTTGAACAGCTAAACCTTTGCTGACCTTCTCTGCCTTCCAACAATTACTGAAATCTTTCTGGTATTGGCTGCTTATAGAGATGGCCTTTCCCAACTTAGTGTTCTTTAGATAGGCTGAGAAGACAACTTCCAGAAATGGCAACAAGCATGGACTTCTGGAAGCCACCAAACTGGTGAAGACCAAACAAAGTTTTAAAACTGTTGCTAGCAAATTCTCATTGTTTCTAATTTAATTGCTTCTATGGTTCTAATGGATGACCAGCAGCAAGATGGATGGATTCAGTTACAGTGGTGATGAGTGTACTGCTGGGAGACTTGAAAGAACAGGTTGGGGATAGATCATCATGGAGAAAATCTATCTATGTGGTTGCTAGGAGTCGAAAACAATTGATGGCACATAATCAATCAACCAATCATTTTAATCTG